TGCCCTAAACCCTAAACCCTAAACCCTAAACCCTAAACCCTAAATCCTAAACCCTAAACCCTAAACCCTAAGTTTCTTTGAAGTTTCTTTGGAGATCCTTGGCCTGCATGTGCTTCGACACGGGGTCGAAGGAGTCCATCACCACGCCGGCGACGAAGAGATGCGTGGGCTCTCCTTGCCGGCCCACTCTCAATGGGGGTTTAGGGTTTAGGGTTTAGGGTTTAGGGTTTAGGGTCTAGGGTTTAGGGTTTAGGGTTTAGGGTTTCGGGACCCCGAATTTAAACCCGAAACACTAGGATCTCCTTATGAAAAGGGACCCAAAGTAGGTATCCCCATTATCGTAAGCTCCCAAATGCTGATCTTCATGAGCAGAAACTTCCCTCGCTCAGCCCTCCACAAATCAACGCTCAACTCGAAAGCCGGTACCTAAACTCCAGGGCTGCGAAGACCCCAGTGGCACCGGCCTTGCTGAACCCTCACCCACCCTGATACGTGCAGGCTTCCGAAGTCTCCACCAGTCCTCCTGCCATGCGCTCGTGCATAATGCAGATGTCCTCCTGCAATTACGTCTAACTGTGCGACTGGGAGTTCATGCATCGTCAGAGTTTTGTGGGCTCAAAGTTTCGCCTCGCCTTGAACAAAGTGATGGTGAGAAAATGGGCACCAGGGGTGGTCAGACTACATCCATCGGATCCCACATCCCGTAACCGGCACGTCAGCCAGAAAACGCCCCTTTTGGACCCAACTCTCAACTCGTGATCTCCTTCTAGGCCCACCTCCACTCACTCCCTCCCTCTCCCCCCTCCGCATACCATGGCCTGGAGCACGGACCCGAGGAGTTCAAGCGGTTTGTCTGCGTAGTCAGCAAGCTGCCAGTGAAGGCCTCGGAGGAGGGAGAAGGGCGTGTCTCGCAAAGCTTTGGGGTGAGGGAAAGGCTCACACAAGGCGTGCATCATGCTCTCCAGCAGCGTGCGCAGGGGCTCGTCGCGCGCATATCGGTTGTCAAATGCAATGGGAGCTTCCAGTCGGGCACAGAGGGAGGCTAGACTGGAGCGCCAGTTCACAGTATTTACGGTTCTAGGCACTGCCTCAGACTGCGCATTGGCATACGAGGGGCTCACTTACAAACCACCAGTGCCCGAAAACCGTAGCCCTGTAGAACCGAAATCCCAAACCTGACAAGCCCGAAACATAGAAACAACTCAGACCCAGCAGAAGCCCAAGAAAGGCCAAGGGAGGTGCCTTCGCCCAGGCTGCTGAACCTGGCCGCCAGAGCTTGGGGAGGTGCAGATTTGTCAAGGACAAGAAGAACTGGCACCCTAAACCCTAAACCCCAAACCCGAAACCCTAAACCCTAAACCAAGAGGTGTGCTCGGACGCATATCGACTTTGTGTTTAGGGGAGAGGATTAGGAGGACCCTCTGGGATATAGACCCTCTGAATATGGTCCCTGTTTAAGAGAGCCAGGGGATTATTTAGGGTATGTCCCCTGTATACACTCTTTAAGGGATATAGGGCAACTAGATCCCCCTGTCTATGCCCTCTAACGGGTAAAAAATGTATGGTGATTACCTAATTCCCTCATTCCCTACTAAGAACCAGCAAGTTGGAACAGCTGCCCAACGGCGAGCATTAGGCCCTCGCCGGTCCCCCCTCTCACAGCCCTGCCCAGGTCAAGCGCAGTAACATCCTTCAGCCACCCTGAACGCAAAACTCTTAAACCCTAAACCCTAAACCCTCAACCCTGAACCCTCAGCCCTCAACCCTGAACCCTGAACCCTAAACCCTAACACTCTGCAGCCAAAACTCTCTTTTTTGAATTTTTTTAAAAACACCCTGAACCTTCTCTTAAACCAACTGACCCGCCTGCCACCTTCCAGCGCGAAGCGGGCCGGAAAATGCGAGGCCTCAACCACCGAGTTGCAGGGCCCTAGGGTTTAGGGTTTAGGGTTTAGGGTTTAAGGTTTAGGGTGTAGGGTTTAGGGTTTAGGGTTTAAGGTTAGGGTGTAGGGCTTCGGGTTTGTAATTCAAACAATAGCAATGATGATCATTACCAGCACAACAAATTTACAATGTTAATGTTTTTCAGTATCATTGATCATATACACACACATATACGTTCTTAAATATACGTGTGTGTGCGATGCGAGAATATGTGTGTGTGTGTGCATGTATATATGTATACGACATATGATTTTTGATATCTGACATTAGGATATACACATATCCCGAACTAAGCGCCACGCCACTGACCTTGACGAACGCAGCACAACCGTGATAAGCCAAAAACATCACCCCTTAACCCTAAACCCAAACCTTAATGCCCCAAAGGCCCAAAACTGAGCCCATACATCCCCATCTCCGTGGGTCGCGAGGAGCGGGGACCACGAAAAATCCACACTTCCTACGAAGCTGGTGGTAAACCCTAAACCCGAAACCCTAAACCCATACTGATCCATCGCTCCGGATTTGAGGCCATGCTCGGCTGAAACTGCGTTTGCTTGGCGTTTACGGACTTCCTGGCTCATGGGGACCCTGGCAAAAGTCGATGTTTTTTTCTGTTTCTTCGGACTTATAGTACCCAAAGATGAAAAAATATTTCCAAGTACCCTTAAGAAGAGGGGTTGAGGGGTCAAGGGGTTGATGATTGATGGCCGCAGATGCCCTGAAGGAGCCGGCAACTTCGCGACACTCCATCTTTGTCTAGCGCCGGACTGCACGCACCCCTTCTAAACCATGTCCATGATTAGGATTAAGCGAATCTTACACAAACAGCCCACTCCAAGAGCACAGACTTTTCCGCCCGCGCTGTCGAAGGAACGTGGCTGACCGAGCTTTTCGCCCGCTTACGGGCGTCGGGCTCGTTGGTCGACCTTCCGTTAACATATACCCTACATTCCCCACATACCCTGTATATCCTATATACCCTATAAACCCTGAACCCTATAAACCTAGCTGTGACGTCCCAAGGTTCGGGGTAGGGGGAACAGCGGACCGTTTGAGCCCTGAAATTCGCACCTGGACAGGGTTCGATGGCCAAGCGGGTGTCGCAGCAGCAAAGGCTGCTTCGGAGGGGGATACTTGGAGGTTCATGGTACTTACTAACCAATAATAACTGTACTTATAACCCTACTTATAAGTTATTATTGGTTAGTAAGTACCATGAACCTCCAAGTACATCCAGAGTTCTGACTTCCGCCTATTGAGCGTCGCAGCGTCACACCGGGTCTGAGATGCAGATTTTCCCTACAAGCTTCCGTGCTGCCATTAAAGCAACTGCTTTGTGGCCTGTTAAAAAAAATCTTTCGGGGGAATGTAGGGATTCGGGCCCATGAAAATATGAAGTCAAATCGCAATCAACCTCAAGAGAAGCGGATGTCTGGCCCTGTTTGGACGCCTTGCTCCTACTTGGAGGTCCATGGGTACTTACAAGTAAGGTCACAAGCACCCTAAATACGGTCATAGCCATAGTCACCCTACTTATATCCCTAGCAAAGTTCGCCACAGCAACCCTAAACCCTAAACCCTGAACCCTAAACCCTAAACCCTAAACCGCGAAGTCCACTCTGGAGAGCACGAATTCGGCGAAGGGAAACGGGAGGAACGTCGCACGGAGTCCGTGGGCCTACCCTTGGAGCCTAGGCGTTTTACAGGCTTAGGGGCTTAGAGCGTTCTTGTACAAGGAACCCTCTTGCCCCTACCGAAACCCTGAACCCTAAACCCTAAATCCCTTTGAGCATTCACAAGACGAGGTGACGGCCCAATGAGGATTCTCAGCTCGACGTGCCGACTGAGGAAGGCAGACATGCAAGCATGGATCGGCTCCCACCATGCAAAGCTTCCTTCCATAAGAATTAGGGTTTAGGGTTTAGGGTTTAGGGTTTAGGGTTTATATTTCTTGTACCCCCAAAAGGACACCAGGTATATACACTCACCAATATGAAAAAGGAACCTTACATACACTCACCAAAAACAGAAATATAAACCCGACTTCATATTTTCTAAGATCCTCCGCCCTCGAGCCTACCTGAAGAGTGTAGTTCCTTTTTGGGTTACTTATAAGGCTTTCTAGAGCACGATCCCAAAAAAGTCACTACATGGGAGCCTTGACCCAAACTTGCAGAGCCGACTCACAGGAGCAGCGCCTCGGCGCATCGCAGTAAGATTCACTGCGCCCTGCTTCTCGCCCCCTGCGAGTTCCCTGCTGCTCTCATCTTTGGCTGCCCTGCCTGCGCCTTGAAGCACCCAGTCGCAAAGATTAGGGTCGAGGGTCTAGGGTCTAGGATCTAGGGTTTAGGGTTTAGGGTGTAGGGTTTAGGGTTTGGGGTTTAGGGTTTTGGGCCCAGGGTTTAGGATTTCGGGTTTGGGGCTATCCGACATAAACCGAAGTGGCAGATGCAGCTTGCGAGAACCCGCCGGGCAGTTCGACGTTGGCAGTTGCTACGCTCGGTCGCTGCAACGGTGCACCAAAAACCTGAAACACCCATTCAGATCTAAAAATAGCTATATCACATATATATATATATATGCATGTCTATACCTGTGTTGGTATATAGCTAGTCCTATGAAAAAGCAAAACACATGTATGTGTTCAGAAACCTCTCATAGGTCAAGGAGGGAGGGGGCTGAATCTGAAAATTCAAGTCTACCAGTGAACCTGACACCCTCCAACCGCGAACAGCAGAAGGATGAACGGGTGGCACTGGGGCGTAGGGTTTAGGGTTTCGGGTTTTAGGGTTTAGGGTTTAGGGTTTAGGGCTTAGGGTTTCTCTGCTTGCAAGAAGGGCTTAAGGCCTGGTTCTTGTTTTCTCAGGATTTGGGCACCACTGCAGCGATCCGAGCATTCTTGGACGACCGGTGCAGACTCCATGTGGTCAGGCTTTAGAGGCCTCGATTCTCACAAAGCGCCGGGGAGAAGAGCTTCGGGGTGGGGCTTTAGAACAGCCTGCTTTGCTGGGCCCTAAGTAGCAGCAAGTGAGATCTTGCACCTGCGTCGCCTCTTAGGCGGATTCGCCTAGCGCCGGCGACTCTCTGAGAACTTTTGGCACCTTGGCGGGCCGCCGCCTCTCCTTTTCCTGGGGCAAAATGGGTCTCGGAATCTGTACGCTTCAAGGTTCGGCCGGGGCTTACACTACGAGGCTCCGGTAGTTCGAGGGTTACGGAGGTCTCAGGTTGGGATGCTCCCCCCTAGACTAGCAGTCCTTAATAGGGATTCTAGTGCCAGCGAGCTAATCTAACAACAGCAATGCCACACCTACTTGTGAGGGCGGCGCGGGGCCTAAGGACAACAGTGCACCCCCTGGTATAATTCCTATTGAGGACTGCTGGTCTAAGGGGGAACATCCCAAGTTTCCCATGAGGATTGGGCGCCCTCGGGTTTGAGGCTTTTTCGACAACGCGGACCCGGACGAGTTCGGCCAGCAGTGTCTGACAGGGCTTGGGGTTGACCCTACTTGGAGGTTCTTGGGTATTTCTGACCCCCAAATAGAACTGTACTAAGTCCCCTAATCAAGTAGGTTGCAAGCAGACTTATCACCCTAAACCCTAAACCCTGAACCCTAAACCCTAAACCCTAAACCCTAAACCCTAAACTGGAGTTATACAAGTACCCGTGAACCTTCAAGTACAGCCTGCAAGCCTGGAAGGCTTCGGGATTTCTAATGTTGGGGGTTGTTGGTGATTTGACATGCCCATGCTCCACAAAAAGGTAATCCAGCCAACGCAAACCGAACCCCCTGATGCCCTTTCGTAAGGATTGTCGCGTTTTTGGGGGGGAGTCCTATTAGGGGTACCCCATACTTGGGTCACAACCCACTTGAATGTAAAGCACCTTTGCGCATCCTTGTGTCCCAGATTTTCGACGCCAAACCACCCCCCCCCCCCCCCCCCCCCCCAAACACAGCGAGACGAGTCTCAGGCCGCAGTCTTGGTTGTTATGGCCTGCTATTGTTGATGCTATCTGTCGTTCCTGCCCTACACCCTTAAACACTAAACCTTAAACCCTAAACCCTAAACCTTCAACCCTAGGCTCTTGCGTTCAGCTACGCCCAGCGGCCTGGTTGGGCGCGGTCTTGCTTATGAGTCCCGAGCTCTTGAGCAACCTCGGGTTCAGGGTTTTAGGGTTTAGGGTTTGGGGTTCGGGTTTAGGGTTTGGGGTTTGGGGGTTTGGGGTTTGGGGTTTGGGGTTTGGGGTTTAGGGTTTAGGGTTTGTAGGGTTTAGGGTTTAGGGTTTAGGGTTTAGGGTTTAGGGTTTAGGGTTTGGGGTTTGGGGTTTGGGGTTTAGGGTTTAGGGTTTTCTTTACCCCCCGCCGAGCTTAGGGTTTAATCGCTCACTCAAACAAACCAAGCAAGGCACACAGCGTCCAAGTCCATCGACTGTGCCAGGGTTTAGAGTTTAAGGCGTAGGGGATAAGATTAGGGGGGGACCCTTGGGGATATATACCCTCTCCATAAGGTCCCTGTTTAAGAGAGCCCGAAGAGGGTTCAGAAGGGTTCCCTTTTAAGGGTCCCCCTTATCCTACCTAGGATTAAGGCGTAGGGCAACTAACTTTCGGGCTTGTGGCCCTGCACGTTTGAACCGGCCCCGCCGGCCTTCCTAACTGGAAGGCTGGTTGGGATTTTGGGGCTCAGACCCTGGTGTTTTGTGCCTAAGGCTTAGAGACCAACTCGCCTCAGGTGGCAGGGAACCCTAAACTCTAAACCCTAAACCCTAAACCCATCTGAATCATGCCAAAGGCTCCGGACCACTTTCGAGAGCTTAAAGTCGAGTGCTTTCAAGTCTGCGCGCATGGCCACCTTTCACAAGCTGCATTTTAAGATTTCAATTTAGGGTTTAGGGTTTAGGGTTTAGGGTTCAGGGTTTAGGGTTTAGGGTTTAGGGTTTAGGGCTTGGGCAAAGGTCTCTTTTTTGGGGGGAGGGATTTAACATACCAAAGCATGAAACCACCAATCCGAGCATGCAGCGAAATCATCCATGCAGTGATGTGCAGACGCGGGATACACTCCATATTACTCCATGGCAATGCGGATTTGGGCCCTTGAAGGTGCGAGGTGGACCAGGCCCTGCCATGTTGCGGCGCTGCTCCGCTATGCAAGGTTGACAGAGAGCTCACCCGCCGACGTCCCCCAATCGTGTAACGAACATGCTGCATACTTTGCATTCGCCAATCCCAGCGTTTCGTCTGGCCTCGGATACTTCTCGCAGCGTGACGCTCATCGCAGTCTCATTTTGGCGCCCGTGTTGCTGACTGTCTGTAGGGGTTTATGCTTTGCGGGCTGGACAGCATTCAAGGTTGCAAGAAATAAGAAGTCTCAAAACACGAAATGCTAAAGGACCCTATACAACTCCTAAACCCTAAACCCTAAACCCTAGACCCCAAACCCTAAACCCTAAACCCTACACTCCAGATCAGGAAGGCCTGGTCCATGGCCCTCGCTTGACCTTTGCAGCGCATGATGCCCTCAATGAACTCGTCCATAGTGACCTGTAGGCGGTGTGTGTATGTAGACTGTGACGCCGCCCACCAAGACGTAGGGGGTGATGAGATTTGGGGTTTAGGGTTTAGGGTTTAGGGTTTAGGGTTCAGGGTTCAGGGTTTAGGGTTTAGGGTTTAGGGTTTAGGGTTTAAGGTTCAGGGTTTAGGGTTTAGGGTTTAAGGTTTAGGGTTTCCTGTAGGCGGAGGAGGAACTGTGAAGAACGACATAAACTTTGACGACACCCGTACTTAGGCGGTTAAGGGAGTACTGCAAGGGATGTTGTGCCAGCATGCGGATTGATGACTTTGCGATTTCTCTGGTGTGCTGTGGAAGGGTGAACCACAGAAGAGGTTTCCCAGACAACTGAGACCTCTTCTTCAGCTCTTTCTGATAGCCCCACGCACGTTGCATCAGACATGCTTTGTTACTTGATATTTTCTACTATCGTTCCTCAGCATGCAATGCACCTGTCCGCGCGTCTTCGAACTCAAACCCTACATGCACACTGACACGATGCTGCGGAGCTCGCTGGTACTTGTGACTAGTAGCGTCACCAACGTTCACAGTTTAGGCTCCATGTCGCCGACCTAAGCGATGTTATGGGTGCGCAAACGAGCTAACAACAGGAATGCACCAAGAGCATTTCGAACAAAATTCTTGCTAAATCTGTTGAACCCGTAGAACACCAACCACCTTACACCCTAAGAGAACACTGCAAACTCCTGCCTCCCCGTCACCATTGTCGAGGAGATGGAACAGGGCCGCACTTTCGTAGACGTCCACATCCAAGGTTGCGAAATAGGCCTCCACGAACAAAGGGTGAACGGTCCGGAGACACATCCAGAAACTCACAGGGATGGATCTTACATTACACGCAACAAGTGCTTCGATATATATATATATATACATATATATTTAATGTGTGTATATATTTCTATACATATGTATATATACAGACAAACATACATGTCAAAATGACATGTCTACGTGCATGTGCATATGTATGTACGTATATACATACATGGGTATACCCAGATGTAGACATGTAATCTCTCCGAACAAAAATGCTTGAGAGAGAGAGAGAAAAAAAAAACAAAAAAAAAAAAAAACGAGCTGGGGAGATACGCATAGACATGGAAACTGTAAAATGCTATTGAACTACACAAATAAGCCCAGATGACAAGGCATGCATATGAAAGTGCGAATACAAGCACATAAAAAGTGCAATGTGCAAACAAATTGTTGCACAACATACCGGCTGCGTGGCAGTTCACCCTCCTTTCTTTCCGCACGCACTCCGCGACTTGTGATCCTAGCGCGCTGAACCCTTACCCCTTTTGAACCCGGGACTGAGCTCAGCCAGAAAGATGGCGGAAAGATGGTGTTGGGTCAGGGTTTCGTTCCCACTTGTTGCATGCTCCGTAAGCACATGGTCTCCATAACGAAACACCGAAAGTCAATCAGCTAATTCTGCAATGAGTCGAAGCTGAGGCCATTGCACGTGCATGACGTCGCTTGGTCTTCTCTTCCAGCCTATTCTGTCTATGCGCCTCTCGCAGGGCCTCGAACGAGCTCACATCTTGCACATATGCGATTCCTAGTGCAGCTGTATGCCCCACTGCCGGTGTGATCGCAGGTCTGCAGATGACGAGGCAGAGCATGGACAGGTTGCCCCGGACGGAACAGTCGCATGAGTGTGGTCTGGGGCAGACATGTGGCGCAATTGTTCAGTGAGTTGCGAAGTAAGCTTTTCATGGGCAAGCTCCTTTCGTCTCATGTCCCTAAACCCTAAACCCTAAACCCTAAACCCTAAAATCCTAAACCCTAAACCCTAAACCCTAAACCCTAAACCCTAAACCCTGTCAGCTCGGCCTGCATGTCTCTCCGGGGCAAGTCGTTGAAAACCGACCACAAGTCGGATCCCCGAACCCACACAGGTCCTGCTACACACGGTGGCCCTAAACCCTGAACCCTAAACCCTAAACCCTAAACCCCAAACCCTAAGCCCTAACCTAAACCCTAAGCCCTAACCCACAGGTCCCGATGGAATCTCCCGTTTCTGGTTCGGGAATGCAAGACACTCATGCTGCCCCTGGTACTGGAAAGGAAGTACTCTGTAGGATGAAAAATGCTACTGCATGTGTATACAAAGATATACACCCAGAAGTATACAGACCTAGACAAAGATAGATACATCTACTAGATACTAACTTTGAAATACTCAATTTCAATTGTTAGCTAGCCGGTTTAGAAATTGGATATTAAAGACTGGATATTGGATGAAAAATAAGCAGAAGATACGAGACAAGAGATATTGGATACTGGAAGCTAGAGATCGGTCTTGGAATAGATAAATGCACAATGCGATGTACATGCTGTGGTATATGTGTATATAAATATGTGTATATATATGTATATACATATACATATACATATATACGCGTGTGTATCTCCTTATGTTTATATACATGAAACTTAAAACATGCACGGTATGAGAGAATGGACAAATGCATCAGTACCTAAGTAGATCAACATAGGAATACTGCAATGTAACTATTTCACTCAAAACCGTCTTAACTCGACACATATATAAGGATAAGAACGATAAGAGCAACAATCGTTAAATTATATACATCTGCATATATACCAAGAATATGGCTGGATAGTACATGCGTGTGTTTGTAAATGACTTGACCCTAAACCCATGTTTATGTTTTATTCTTGTGGGGGTCTTAAGCAGACGGTTGGCTTTCAGGCTGGGCATGAGCACGGCCACAACGATAACAACGGTGGAGCATCCGATTGGAGAGCCGCTGTGCAGGACTAGGATCCGGGGCTGCGCCATGGAATGAAAAAACACGCACCTTGAGAGAACAGCTCACACCCTAACATCGTTTTTCTTGCAGCTGCGACTCATTGATTCCAGCACCCCAACACCTCAACCCTGCAACCTGAAACCCCGGAACCCCTGAACTGCGGCGGATTCAGAGGGGCCCTGCAAAAACTAAACTTCCACAGGTTATATGGTGGGATGAAGGGGTTAGGGCCCCTAGGACTTGAAGACATATTCCAGATCAACCCCCAGTGAAGCCCTGCCTTGGCAACCGGGTTGGCCAAGATGAACGTCAACCGCTCTTCCGTGATCATTCCTCGCACCAGTCTGTCAGATTTCGCGGGGCTTGGGCATGAGCCTCCCGATCCTGGATGGGTATTGTCACAAACAGGCCCTGGGCCTCAATCTTCGACCCTTGAAGCAGTTTTGCTTTGCTGTGTGAGGTCGGAGTCTCCGCGGCCATATGCCCAAGTGCGACGAGTTCTCGAGGGGTCTGCACACAACATCTACAGCAGACGCAGATGGTCTCAGACGACTGAGCTGTGCTTAGAGCATCTATGACCCTCCAGAGGGTTTTTGAAGCTTTAGTGACCTCTGAGCTTGAACAGTGCCCCAAACCCTAAACCCTAAACCCTAAACCCTAAACCCTAAACCCTAAACCCTAAACCCTAAACCCTAAACCCTAAACCCTACTGGTTTTGGATTCTGTCACCTTGCATGGGCCCCAGAGCCCCAGGGGCCGAACCCATTACCCTCTGGGCTCTGAGCAGGGAATGAGGGAAGTATAGGGCCCTTTACATCTTAAACTGCACTTTAAGGGATGACATGGGGTACCTCACTCCCTCATTCCCCTACTACTTAAGGGAGTACATGGGTACTCCATTCCCTCATGCCCTACTAAGAACCAGCCAGCTTATGTATGCTTTGTGCAGTTGAGAGGAGCCAAACTAAACAGCAGGTCTGGGCGTCTCTATCCTGAAAAGCCCAGGAACCCCTTGAAGCCGAGGTCGTCGGCGCCGTGGCTCTTACGAAAGGCACTTATGATAACAAGCGGCATCCTCCCTCTCTCTAAGTCAGTCACAAGCTCTGCAGCATGTGGTGCTTGCCCATGCTACTGCACTACAAGCGCCCAAGATGAGCCCTTTGGCAAAACAGCTTCAAGCTCAACATAAGCACGAGACGAAACGAAAGCGAAAGACTGCCGGTCACAAAGCTACCCGGTGACAAGGTGCCGTCACCAGAATCATCCATGGCGTGAAAGACATTCTCCAACTTCTCCACGTACTCCGCCTTGTGCGGTCCGTGTGGGGCGAGGGCCGAACAAATGCGATGACCGGAGGTACGGAACCTGTGATGGTCAACAAAACCTCCGTCCATGAGCTACGTTGAACCTCGGGGCTTCTCCGCTTGGCCCGCACCCTGACATCCCCTGTGAGGCTGTTTAGGGTTTAGGGTTTGGGGTTTAGGGTTTGGGGTTTAGGGTTTAGGGTTTAGGAATTTGGGAAGTTCTTAGATTTGGGGCTTAGATTCAACAATAGGCGTGGGGGCCCCCATCCGCCTTCTTCCGCAGCCGCTCCACAACAAGATGTTCCGCATCGTTGTTGGCAGCGTCTAGGGTGTCTTTCAAGAAGATGGCAGATATGACGCGAATCACAGCGAAGACAATGATGGTGATATACCTGGGCGTTGGCGATGTGGATTGAGCTACTCGCATGGAATATGCTCCGGGTTCAGGTTTCAGGGTCCAGATACCGGGATCAGGGCAGGCTAGGGGGGGGGGGGGAATTTGCAGTAAACGGTTATATCTCGGCTGCGCTGGGAAGAAGAAAACCAGAGGGGATGTTCAGATTGAGGTTACTTCTCTCTTGCAATAGGTACATGGTCCCTTAGTATGGGCCATTAGTTGGGGAATCCTTATAAACCCCTGTCTTGACTATGATTCCACAGATAGGGTTTAGGGTTTAGGGTTAAGGGTTTAGGGTTTAGGGTTTAGGTTTTTTTGCCACACACCTAGCTGACCCCCAATGGGGTTTAGGGTTTGGGATTCAGGGGCTTACAGGAAATCGCCCTGAGTCTTCCCTGGGCTGCGGTCCGATCAATGCCCACACCGCCTCACATGATTGCCTGTGCCCTGGCCGGCAACCCGACCAGGACTGGGCCTCGAAACTCTAGCGCTGAGGTTGAGGGTTCAGGGATTAAGCCTCAAAGACAAAATAGACTCAATTTCGGAAGATCATTCTGAAAGTTTTCTGAATCCCGCAGACTCAGGGATAGAAAACGGCACAGGCCATGATGCTGGCAAGATGCGTCACGAAGAAAATCACAAAGCCGTGGCTGACCCTATCCAATACCGGCCGCACGTTCGTAGGCCAATTTCCTGCACACTGCGCAGGTTGAGAGGCTTGATCATCGTTTTGCAAGCGGACGTGCTCTCTCCACATTGGGGAGTCACGAATCAAACGGGCCATGTAAGTGGCACAGTTAACAAGGGCAAACTTCTGGAGTCTCGCTCTCGCTTCTTCTTTCTTTCAAGCGGCATAGGCTTCTGGAAAGCCAATTGCCTGCGCTATCAACCATTGAAGTAAAACAAAACAAACTCAAAACAACAAAACAAAACAAAACAATCAACCAACCAACCTCTGTGTCAATCTATTCCACTCTCTCCTTCTCTCGCTCTCTCGCTCTCTCGCTCTCTCGCTCTCTCGCTCTCGTTCGCCCGCGTGCCCGACCCACCCAACCCTGAAACCCCATCAATTCGAACCCCCATCAACTCGAACCCCCTAATCGGCCCTGTCGCAACCCTATCAGCCACAGAAACGAGCACTCAAAGCCCAGGAAGCCACTGTGTCTCCTGCCTGCGAAGGTTATTTCATAAAGGGTGTACAGCGCCCTGTAGGCCGTGCCATAGTGCATCCAAACCTGATCTTGGTGGTGCAGGATTTTGCTTTCGACAACCGAAACAGGTGCAACCACTTTGCTGAGCTACGGGACTGCATCGGCTCAATAGCTCCCGTCCCCCTGCCTCAAAACTTGGAAGCCTAACCCCACAAGGCCCTGAATCCTCAACACCGCACCCTCTTGGCATGCTCCCCCTTATACGAACAGTCCTTAGTAGGGATTTTCGTTAGGGTACTATAATCCCTATTCAGGACGGTTAGTATAAGGGGGAACATCCCAAGTACCCACGCTTGCCGAGCCGGGATGGGGAGGATTTCTACATGGCCAGCGGCCCCCAGTCCAGTCGGCGAAGTTCAGAGTAGAGCCTTCCCTGCTCTATCGGCCCACGCCTTAAATCTTCATAAGCCCTTATGAACCCTGTATCTTGGGGATGTTCCCCCTTATACGAACAGTCCTTCAGAGGGATTATCATAGGGGATACTATAATCCCTATTGAGGACTGCTAGCATAAGGGGGAACATCCCAACCTGTGTCCCAATAAACCCTAAAGGCCCAACAATAAGCTCACATTCATGGGTTCCACCCCAAGGCCCGCTCTTGCTTGTACCCTGGAATTCGTGAACTTCCCGGGATCCCGGCTGAAGGATACTGAACCCTAAACCCCTAAACCCTAAGCCCTAAGCCCTAAACCCTAAACCTTAGGGGTACCTGATGGTTTCAGGCTTTGGACCCTTGAAAGCCTATGGTTTCGGGACTCGGCTCTTTGGGGACCAACCTGTCCCGGAATCCTAGGCAAGGCCTTTCAGGCCCCCAAAACCGCCAGAGCCCCGCCGAACCCAACCCTAAACCCTAAACCCCAAACCCAGAGAACTGCTTCTGCGTCCGGAGGCCCACTGTCTGTCCACCAGGTCCATGCTGGGGTCCATGATGAAGTCCTGAACTCCAGGGTCTTCAGCACAGGTCTAGGGTTTAGGTACGACCCTGACTGCTCACCCGTACTCTACACCCCAAAGGTTTCACGCCTTGTTTTTCCGACGCCCCAACTCCTCAAGACAACATACGCAGAGCTTTTGAGCCCTTCGGCTCCGGAGCACCAAGGCATGACTCGACCCCTCAATGCATAAGCCTTGGATCAAGAGCCTGAAAACGTTGTTTGGGGGGGGAGGGGAGGGAGGGAGGTTCCGAAATGTTGGCGGTGTCAAGGGTGAGACACGATTCTTGGAGACGCCCCTGTTGACTCGCAGAAAGACCCCTTTTTCCCCAAACCCTAAACCCTAAGCCCTAAACCCTAAACCCTTTTTGCATCCGGACTCCCGTAAACCCTAAACCCTAAACCCTAAACCCTAAACCCTAAACCCTCAACCCTCAACCCTAAACCCTAAACCCTAAACCCTAAACCCTAAACCCTAAACCCTAAACCCTTTGCCGAGCGCAGGTGCCTGGAGCAGCGTTCCCAGCACCAGGGCGCCCATGGTCATGAAAACCTCGGCTCGAGTCCAGCACCCCTTCATGAAGGAGCTTTACGAGTGGCACGAAGCAGAGCAATGAATATTGTGTCAGTACTAGGAAACTAGTAAGAGCAGCAGTCATCATACAAAGAAAGAATAGTGCTAGTGATAAGAACGGATAATGGCAGTAGTATGATGATGAGATATGGTCAAACATGGCAATGATAATGATCCGTCTTGGTCATACATCTTTGATGAAAAGGTTGAATCAGGAATTCCGATACTGCCTTGGACTTGAACTCAAACGTGGATTGGCGGCATTTGGGTTCCAGGGTTTCGGGTTCTGCGTGTTTTTTCGCCACCCGCCTTGTAGGAGGCCTAGGGTTTGTGGTTTAAGGATTGTTGCCCTATGGTTCTGGTTCAGGGCACGTGAACCATCCACCTCGGCAACACACCGATGCGAGGCTACATTCATCTCCGTGGCTGGGGGGCAGCACGGCATCTCCAGAATGTGGCCGAAAGCCTCCTCTTCAACCCACCCCATCTGCCAGAGGCGCTCCCAAGAGCACCATGGACCAGCCAAGCGAGGGAAGGAAGCATTGGCACGCCTTCCTCGGGGTTTTGGGGGGACTTTAGGGGTGGCGGACTCTCAGAATCTACCAGCCGGCTGAACCGCAAGCTCCCCCCCCCCTCTAACTTTGCCAAATCCTCCTAAGCGGGACTTCACCCCAAGAGAAAGCTTCAGGCGGTTAGCATTCTTTTCGACGCAGGGGCTGGAAGATATAATCCCCTACCCCGAACATTGCATCCCCCCACTCCTCTAGTGCTGATAAAGTTCTCTCAGCATGCTCATATACCAAAACGGGTATCATTCTTGGGGAGGGTTAGTTGAGGAGGATCAGGGAGGGGTTGGCAGCTCGGAAACGAATGTGAAGGGGCCCTCGGTTCGGGCCCGGCGTCACTAGCAGCCGTAGCCCTGTGAAGAGGCGCAAAGTGCGCACCATCCGGATCGCGCGGAGCGCCTCGTGGGGTGGTCGTATCAGGAGTTTGGGGCACCTGAGTTGGTTTGGTGTCATTAGTGCCTCAGAATGAAGGTTGCGGCTCCGACTTATTAAAGGGTAATTATGGAGGTTATTGTTTAGGTTTAAGTTGTCAGGCTTCAGCGTAGAAGACGATGTGCACATCCTTCCTGTTCATTGGGGCTGGCATATCAGGTCCGCATGTTGTTTGTTTAGGGCTTAGGATCCAGGATGTGGGGGTGGAAGGGGACATAGAGCTTGGCTTTATGCGGCAACCGCCCAAGAAGAGTCTTTGCAGCACCTTCTGCGCCGCGAAAGCCTTCTCGGGTGATTTCGGGGCTTTGGTTGGAAGCCATAGATTCACTCGAGGGGTTCTACCTTGGGACCCTTAAGGTTGTACCCTTGGGTTTTGGGGTCTCTTTTCAAGGATCCCTAAGGGAATGAAAGGACCATAGTAGGAGTATATTAAGGGGAACCCTTCGGGGGTTCAACCTTCCTGGTTCGAGTCGGAATCCATTATTTCACGGTGAGAGGAGGTCCCTGCTTAGTAAGGGGGGGCAACGCCTTCAGCGCCCGCACGAGCCGAAGCATCACAATGTTCTTGTGGTCACCTGGTTCAAGGTCTTTTGGGGCAAGCCTAAACCCTTTTCTGCTCAAGTCTGAACTATGCGTCCCTGAGTTTCACCAGAACTTCAGGGGACAAGTCATGGCTCTTTCAGAGTGAGGCTTTCTAGGGGGGGGCGGAGGGGGTCAAATGCCCCAAATGACCCCAGCTGCAGCCAGGCCTGAAAGTCCCCCGTTGGAAGCCAAAGGCATGATGATGTACCTGAGCTCGTTACATGGCTTAGGGTTCCGGGCGCAGGGGTTTGAGGGTCTTGAAACTTCTTGAGCCTTCAAACTACGCAGTCCCGCAGGGCCTTAGGGGATACAGCACCCCAAGCCTCCCACAACGCCCTAGGGCATACTGGCCCCTACACTCTGAAGCCCCAATCCGAGCCACAAGCCATAGACGTTGGGAGGTAAAAGAAAACCCAAAAAGCTCCAGAAGCCCCCATTCCAGGGAGGCTGCATGTCAACAAGGCCCGCGGCGACGAGGAAAAAGTCGAACCAAAACCTGAGGCACGAATGACGGCTTCGCGGCTGTCAGCATTCAGCATTTGTTGAAGCACGGGAGAAGACCGGAGTGCAACATGCACACCTCAGAACCTTTTACCCTGAACCTGCCCGACCCCGTCTTTGTTTCACCCACCTAGCTGTTTAGTTGCGGCACAAGATTCGAGAACCCGTCACAAGCTCCCCTCTTCCATTTGTTACACTCCAAACGACGTTCAAAGTGAACACAAAGCTAGCGTGACAACCCGGAACCAGCATTTCCACCGCCCACAGCTCGACTTCCTCTCAACCCTGCCGCGACCCAAACCCCAAGCCCCGAGAGATCTGAGCCAAGAAGCGCAATCTCCTTCAGGAAAGTGTTCCATTCCACAAACATGCGGAAAACGAGCCTGAGTTTCAACGATCTGAGGAGGGGTGTGCAATCGGTGGGTTTGGGGCTCTCTTTGGGGGTTCAGGATTTGGGCTTACATTCGGCCGGCCAGTTGCAACAGAACATGGGTTTCGGGCTCATGGTTTGTAGGGTTTGGAATCTTGTTGATCTTGTCTCGGCTCGGTGGCTCGAGGTTGAGTTACTTTTAGCCATCCCTCCGCATCCCTGCACCTTGTTGCAAGGTCGGATGAACAAGAGTGCTGCTTCCTTACCCGCAGGGTTTAGGGTTTAGGGTATAGGGTTTAGGGTGGCCAGATAAGCAAGATCTCATCCAAGCCGACCATGTTGACCTGGCTCAGCAAGTCACCCAACTTAGCTGGAGGCGCACACCTCCGCCAGGTCATCCCGGTCAACATGCTGAGATTGAACAAGAGTCTTGGGCTTGGGGTTTTGCTTTAGGGTTTGGGGTGTAGAGGGCTTATTGGGCTTTCGGGCTCTGGAGTTTGTGGCGATGAGGGTCGGGGGCTGAGGGCGCTTGGGCGAAGCCTTAAAAAGGCTTCGGGCCCAAATCCCTTATCCTACAGGACCTATGTAGGAACCTACAAAAACCTTAAGCCGTAAACACTGAACTCTTAGGGAAGGTTGAAGGCTTGCTGTAGGTGAGCAGAGGTCTAGGGTTAAGGGGGTCAGGGCTTGAGGGTTTCTAGGATTGAGGGCTTTGGGGCCTTCGCCTAGGCTTTTTCTGAGATTTGCGCGTAAGGCTTTAGGGCCCGTTAGGGTTTAGGGTTTCGGGTTTAGGGTTTAGGGTTCAGGGTTTAGGGCTTTAGGGTGGTGGCCCTCAGTCCAGGCGGCTCTGCCAGGAACAAAAAGACAAATGCATTGTCGAACATCTCGAAGATAGGGCTGACCTCTGAAGAGGGGTTTCAGGGTTTTGGGAGTTTAGGGTTTAGGGTTTAGGGTTTAGGGTTTAGGGTTGCTTCATTGCTTTTTGGGGAGTGTTGGGTTTACTCGGCGCTGTCTGTGTATCTGAGCAAGTGAGTGCGACGGCACTGTGAGTTTTTTTTTTTGAGACGCAGCCAGCTTCCAGGTACAGCTAACTTTGCGTGCGCTACATCCTACAAATAGGACGGCTCCTCTAAGGAGCAGTGTACACAGAAACAGCCCGCAAGCCCGGTGACTGTGGGGCACCATGTGAAACAAGTGAGAAGAGAAGAGGAGTGAGAGAGGAATGGAAAACTGTACAAGCTCTTACCCCTCGGGGCCTAGAGTGGTGTCGCTGGCACGTATAACACACAAGGAGGGCAACCTCGGTGTAGACGTGCTCACAAGCATTCTGTGGAAAAGAAAAGCATCTCCTGCGTCCTGCCAAGTGGGGGGAGTGATACTGTGACAATGCTGCAGCTGTCAGTCTGAGAGGCACGATTGTCAAGGCACTGCATCGGCAGAAATTGGCAAAACACACCCTGTTTTCAGCCTGTCGGACCGCGGAGGACAACCGCTCGTCACCCAGCGCATTGTTTGGATCAGATCCCCTACTCCTTATTCCCCTTGTTGAGGCAGCTCTTATGATGACGCCTTGCGAAGCAGGATGACATAGCCTTGCTCGCCAGCAAGTTGACTGGCCCGCTGCTGGGTGCATATGATAATGTCTCGGGCGTCATCATGCAGCTGCCACTCCCCTTGGCCCACTCTCAGAAGAGTGGTGTAGTGTCCCGCCCTGGGTGTGTCGCCAACATGCAACACGCATGCTGTGAGCTCGTACGACACCAGCTCAGTGGTGCAGTCGGACCGAGTGTAGCACGGCATCTGGACGCACTCTGTGTTTAGCAGATCATACCTGACAGCAAGGGCAGCTGGGTGTCCCGGCCTCGTGAATTTGGGAATGCGCAGGGTAAGTATTTCAGGGGCCTTACGCAAAGCATGTCGGTGTGCCTGAGTGTGCCACTTGTTGACAAGAGCCTGCAAGGTAGTCTCAGTCAGTGATGGGTACAAACTGACGGGCTGCACAGTGCTTCCGAGATCAGTGACTTCTGCATGTGGCAGCGCGTGACGACGCGCCTGCCAATCCCCTTCGCATAGAGTGGCCAGCAGCTGCGGTGCCAGGAAGGCATAGAACTCAGCGGCATCATGTTGTGAGCGGATGTGTTTCCAGTATCTTAACAGTGGTCGTATTACTAGCGCAAGCTTACAGGGGTGGGACTGAGCAACTAGGGAGTTGCAAACCTCCCATAGTGGCTGTTGCTGAGGCGTAACATGAGCTCGGCTAGTCCATAGGCTGGCCAGTGTGACACTGTTCAAGTAACAAAGATTATGGGGGTTATGCAAGGGGATCTGGAGCGTCGGGTACGCTTGAAATAGGGGAATTGAGTCAGGCGGCGTGTCCCTCACCAGCGACGGTCCATCAGGCCCATTTCTTGCTCGTACTGTGCCACCATTTTGGAGAGGCGCTGCGCCATCGGGCTGCGGCGTAGGCCCTCCGGCTTCAGGGCCGCGTCGATCATAGTGAGAGCTGGATGTCCGCAGAGACCCAAAAGGTGGCTGTGAACCAGGCTCTTTCGAAGGCTCACTTCTAAGAGCATCACTGTCTTGCGTTGCTTCTGCACGATTTCCCATTTCCGCAGGGAGTGAAAGCGAAGGACAAGAGTGGGGTCCTCGAGGCACTCGTGTAGGCCTTGAAGAAGCAGGAGCGTCTGTTCGGTAGTGACCTTGGCTCGAAACTGGTCCGGCACCATTTTCTGCAGGTCTGGGTCCCAACGCAACATGGTCCACTGTCCCTCCTTGTAGAGTCCCGTGTCCTGGGCCTTCGTCTGAAGGTCTTTGGTCTGTGTGAAGGTCTGCAGTCTGTCCTGCAGTTCTTTTACCAAACATCGCATCAAGAGTGAGCGCAGCGGGGTTTGCATCTCCGAGCGATTGGTGGAAGCGCTGGCCTCTGCCGATGGGGCGGTGCCATTCAAGTTGGTCGGTCTGCCAGGCTGATGTGCTGCATGCCATTGGTGGGATTTCTGGATCAGGTCGTCGAGGATGCTGCTTCCCGCTGTCCCTCCCAGGTGAAGAACAAAACCACGGTCGGCCCGTGTCATTTGCAGGGAATCCTCCTGCTGGAGCGAGAGCTTGGCTGTCATGAGATTGATCGCCGTGAGTGAGTCGGTGGGGTGAGGCTGGGCTCTCAGCTGACCCATCCCATACCCCCCGCGCTGTCCGAGCGGGTGTGGGGGTGTGAGCGGAAACTCCTCCGGTCCTCGCCGGCGCTTCGGCCCCGGTGTCTGAAACGACCCCTGTAGGATCTGCTGCGTGGGACGAAAATGGTCCCCCCATGTGTCCTCCAGCCCGTCGACGTAAGGTGAGTGATCGTACTCCATGGCTTGCATGACAGGGCAGGTGCACAGACTCAGGCTGTACTAGCAGTTGCAAAGCAACGACTTGAGTGATGACTGCACAAGCTGGAGTGTGTAGTAGGGGTTTGCGGACTGTTTGCTGGCACGCAAGGCAAGGTTGATGCGTAGGAGGAGTGAACAACGTAGCACCTTTCCGTTGCAAGGTCAATGTAAGTGCGCTGATGACTGACCAGATGTCCTCGTGGATGCGTCGCCAATGTGCACGGAACCCCGCAGGACCTGCAATCCACTGGCCACAGAAAACGCAACGCTGCCGCACCCAAGTAGTGATTGTGGCGCAGGCGAAAACGCTGCCCCAAGCATTTGCATAGGGTTGTGTAAGGAAGGTATGGAGTTGAGGAAACTTCTTAAGTGCGATAGGTGTGGGGAAATGGTAGGTTTCAGTGGAAGACTGAGGGACATCCTTAGGGTCTAGGGTGATATCGGGAGTTTGCATGTCTCTCCACGCCTTCCTGAGGCCCTCGCACGCGAGCAGGCGGACGTGGTTTTCGAGGACCTGCCACTTCGGGAAGGCTACTTTACAATGCTTGCAAGTCGGGAGTCCATTTAGGCCGTGGTCTCTTGCCTTGAGAGTATGCGCAACTTGGGCCTCGCCATGTTTTCGACGGAGATGGGTTTTCAGGCCTCGGTTGGAGGCAAACGATGCCCCGCACGTGGCACATTCAAAAGCAAGGACTTCAGGTTCTGGGGGAGAGAATGAGTTAAGTTCCATAAAGGTGTTAAGTGAGGCCTGCAGGGATGCTTGTATGTGGGGATCTTGCAAGATTCCGTCCTCGGGCGGCGCGAGACACAGCTTCTGCAGTAGGTTGTTGCCACGTTCTTGCATGGTATCGTGGAACCACTGCACGCCAAGTCTAGCAAGGAGGTCTGTGGAGGACTCGTGAGTGATGTGGACAGGGCTTGCGCCAATGGCTCTGAGCTGCTTGATCAGGGCCGTGTAGAGTAGGTGACTTCCCTGCTTTGTGATGCCTGTGGTGTGTAGCGCATAGTAGAAAATGGGCTCGATGCACGCTCGCCAGAGGCGGAGTCTTGTGGTTTGGGTGAGGTTGTGGTGGCCGTTGAGGATTTTCCGGAGTTGTTGGTAGCGACCCTGTGCTTTTCTGATGTTTCGTTTAAGGGTTGCGTCCTCAAAATTGTGGTATGCGATGACAATACCTAGGTAGGTCGCAGTGGTTTGGAGTGGGATGCGCGTAGGTGGCAGCTGTGGGCTATAAGGATGCGGTAGGACGAAGCATCGACCTTGCGCAGTTTTTGCGACATAATCCTTGACTGCCTTTTTGAGTGCCTTTCCTCGCACCTCCAGCAGTGCGACGGATTTCTGTGCATTCACGCTGAGTCCAGCAGTGTCTAGTACTTCCAGTAGAATGCCAGCCTGTTTGATGGCCTGCTTGAAGGTGGGAACGTCGTGGAAAGTAAGTCCTAGGTGGTGGTCATCTGCGTAGAGGGTAATTCCCTGCGTTGCCTGTTCAGTCATATGTTGTTTGAGGATTTGCCATATCCTGCCCGAGGCCAGTGACCAAAGCAGTGGTGAAAGCGGACAACCTTGGCGTATCCCGTTGGTGATACGCAGGGATGTGATGGCTTCGCCAGAATGCAAGTGATAGGTAGTGTGGCTTAGCAGGCTGAGCACTGCCGCGCAGAGCGGTTGTGGGACGTCTGCTGCTTGCAATGCCCTTTGGACGTGCCCCCACCGCAAGGAGTCAAAGGCCTTGGAGAGATCAAGGGTGATCTGCAGCGCGCCGTAGTTTTCCCCTTGTTTGGTGGGGCACACGCCACTGTGGCGCCTGTGAAGATTTTCCGTGAAGGCTTTTAAGCGCTCTCTGACTTGTCGGCAGTGGGCCAGAACTTTGGATATGGAGTGGTATATGTTGCGGTTTGGTACATAGGCAAACTGCGGGGTGTCAAGAAGGAATTTGACAACGTAAGGTGTGAGTTTTTGTTTAAGAACAGTGGCTATCAGTTTAGCCTCTGTTGTCATCAGGGCAAGTGGTCTGAGGTTCTCGGGCCGGGAGGGGCTCTTGCCAGGCTTAGGAATCCAAACTAGCCAGCCACTGGTCCAACTTTTGTCTAGCAACGGCTCGAGTCCTGGTTGCCAGGCCTGTTGGAGATACTGCAGTATGGCAGGTAGGACCAGTGACTTGTTCGCTTGGTAAGCCGTGATGGGTGCGGAGTGGGGTGGGACTGCTTTGTTGGGTTTTAGCTGGCCCAGCGCCTCGGTGAGTTCTTCCATACTGATCTGCAGTGGTGCCTGGAGGGGTTCCGTAAGGTTAGAGGTGGGTTCCTTGCAGAACGTGGCTCGACTGTACACAAGTAGCGCCTGCACGCTTTCGTCGTCATTCAGCATTTTACCTGTGCTATCGCGAAGTTGGACGCGCCTGTAGGCCTGCTTTGGCGCTAGTCGTTTTACAACTTGGTAAAGCCCCCTCAGGTCACCACGTTGTTTGGCCTGTTCGGCCTCCTGGATGCACGCTAACAGGCGTTGTCGTCTTGCCTGTCGTCCAACGCGCTTGCACTCTCGACTGCATTTGGCAAAGCTGGCAGCATGGCGCCACATGGTGAAGAGCGAGGCAAGGCCAGTGCTAGCTTGACACTTGCGGAGTGCGTCGCGCGCCTGCCAGAGCAGTTTGACGCTGGCACGCACCTCGGCCGTTTGCCATGGAGCAGGCGCGCGTGCCCTGGCTTGTCGCGGGAAATGTCGTGCTGTAATTTGGCTTACGACATGATCAGTTCTAGTGCGTTCTGCAGGTGTCAACTGGGCGAGAGCGAGACTCATGTCCGTGCGCCAGGCTGCGTGCTGTGTAGAGCAGCTCTGGGCTGCTTTGCGAAGCGTGAGCTCGTCCCACCTGAGTGGAGGCTTGTGTGCAGGTTTATACTTCCAAACATGGGCTGGGAGGCGTGTGCTCAGCATGAGGTGCTTTCCGCCGCTTCGCCAGTCCGCGAATGGCGCGGGCGCAACTGCTGTGTTAGGTATGGCGGCGGTGGCCTGCGGTCCTCTTGTAAGCATGTAGTCAATGACACTGCTGCCTTGTGGACCGACGAATGTGGGATGATGGCCGTGATGCGTGTTAAGCGCCGTGAGCGAGTGCATGAGGCAAATGTCACGAAATTGGTCAGCGTCGGTTTCGGGTCTGGCTGGAGCGTGAAAATTCAGGCCGGTGATGCTAGCATTGCGCGGCAATACTGTGTTAAAGTCGCCTCCTATGATAAGACCATTTCGGGCCGAGGAGTGTATCTAACTGTCCCCACAGTGGTTTTCTGTTTTTGACATTGACTGCTTCAGAACACGTGCGTCGCCATGGGACCTGATAGACATTGACAATGTCCCAGGTTTGCTGTCGGAGTCGGACACGCACGTGCAGAAGTCTGCCTGGGATCCATTCATTGAAGCTGATTTGCTGTGGAGAGGCTATGCCATGGTGGATTGCAGTGAGCAGTCCTGAGCATCGTTCAGGGCCTCCGCTGCCAACAGCGTGATACCGGCCCTGATTGAACTCGCTGGAGTCTCCCCAGTGGGTCTCCTGCAACAAGGCTATGTGGGGCTGGTTTTGGCTGAGCCATGAGCTCCACTCGTCGTAGGCAAGCGTGGTGGCCCCGCCTATGTTATGGCTGGTGACATGCAAGAACGGTCGTGGCGTCAGGGCTTTGGCCTGTCGTGCGAGTGAAAGTTTGGGAATAGGTGCACGATATCGTTGCGCCTGTAATGCTTCTGCAGAGTACTGCTTCCCCCGGTATGTGGCTACACCTGCCCTGTTGGCTTGTTTAACTGCACGTTTATACGCTCTTTTAACAATCCAGTTAGGGGCAGGGGTCTTCGGTGAGGGTTGCTGAGTGTACCGGGCAGTCTTAGTTACCTCACCCTGGCACGGCAGGATCAAGAGCATTAGGCGGTATAGACGTCTAGCCGGGAGCATCCAGTGGGCGTTGGAGCTGCTCTTCGTCTGATGCATCGGCTGCGCTGGTGATGTGCTTAGGACAGGCGCAGTTCGTGCGTTAGAATAGCTGCAAGTTTGGTCGTGATAGGAGTGCCCGCCAAGGTCTTGCGCATGGTTGCCATGCACAGCGTGTGTGGCACAAACTTCTGAGGCTCTCGCTGTCTGTCGTTTGTCAGAGAGCGACGGGCCTACCAGGGTCGTTGGGGAAGCTCCTACTTGGGTCATGGCAGGGGTTGGGGCAGCTCCTACCTGGGTGGGGCCCGGGTTTCGGGGGGCTCCTACCGGATTTCGGGCAGGGGTTGGGGGAGCTCCTACCTGGGTCGGGGCAGGAGTTGGGGGTGCAGGCAGCTGGTCTTGGGGCATGTTGTACATGGGTACTTGGCAGCGGTTGCACACCTTGTATGCTAGCACACGCACTGCGCAGCGTCCACCTGGCAGGTCCATGCCGTCCAGTTCTCTGCGAATCTGATAAGAGATCGCAGAGTCCTCAAAGTGCACTGCGTATCCTCCTGCGAGGTCGATGCATGCCGCATATTGGCCAAATGAACATATGTACTCATGGAAAATTTGGCTGGGAATGCCCGTGGTAAGCACAACCCAGCTGCCCTGATTGATGCAGGGGAGGTTTTCCGCAGTGACATGCTGTGCTGTCAGTGCCGCGGTAGCCTGGCTCAGCCGCCCCGACTCAGGCGCCGCGTCAAGTAGGTGCGGTGTCTCAGAGAGCCCAGCGTTGTCGTCTGCAGCGTGTTGGTGAGTTGATGGCCTTGGTGCCAGGATCTCTTCGTCTGTCTCCGTGTCTCTGTTTGGCATGTTCTCATTCTCCGAGTCGATGTCGATCGCATGATCCTGGGTGGTCGAGGAGAGATGTTGAAGCGGTAGGCCTGCAGGTTTTGGCATCGGTGCGGTCAGAGGGACAACTTGGCCATCCTCGGAGCTGCAGTCTGAGTAGGTGTCGGCACTCTCACCGGCATCTTCAAGGCTCAGACTTGGCTGGGCTCGCGATTCACTGTACACGGTCAGCGGAGGGGGCCGCGGAGCTCGGCTTCCTTCCGCTGCCGTCGAGGCCATAGGCTCCCCCGTCTGCCGAGCCGTGGAAGGGGGTGGTGCAGCGCCAGCTGCCCTTCTGAGGTGTCGCCATGGTCGAGCTTTGGCACGTGCCTTGTCCGCCGCCGTTCTGTGCCGGGGCATCTTGGCTTTTGCATGGCTGCAGCAATGGCAAGTTTTGTGGAGGTGTCTTAGCGTGCTGAACATGGGATGCGCACTGCACTGCCCTATGTGCCAGAAAGGGCAGGAGGGGCCTCGGCTTCTTGAGTGCGTGTGCTGAGTTGGGCACCTGTGTTCATGAGCTGGCGCACAGACATCAGCTGCGTCTATGTTGCCTGCTGACTTTCCTACGCGCGCGACTGTTCGTCGCCTCGCTGGCCACAGCCTGCGTGCATAGGGGTGTGTGCGACAGCGCTTGTAGAGAGGGATCAATGCATTCACGCCGTGGGCGCGAAACAAGCTGATTGCTTCCATATTGGGTTGATCAGGCCCTGGCTCACAGTAGTGTAGGTCGCAGGCCCAGCAGGGGCCGTGGTCCTTAGTCACGACGTGTATCCAGGCGACCTCAGAGCATGCACCTGCAAGCCTGCAGTGCATGTTGCATGTGGCACGAGGTCTGAGTATTGAAGCGCCCAGGGGCAGGTTGCAGTGAGCAGCATCCATTTGCATCGTCGGATGCCTAGGCTGACTGGCTTTGGGCAGGGGAAAGAAGATCGAGAGGACTTAGAAAGAAGTTTCAGGCACAGGAAAGCGGGGGTAGATTGGGTCAGAGAAAAGGGAGAGGGAGAGAAGGAGAAGGAGAGAGGAGTGTGTATCACCCGCATGGTGCCATGGGTGAGCGCGTGACTGCATATGTTCGCCAGAAGGCATGAAAGCGGCCACTGGTGTTGTCTGGCTCCAGATCCTCCTGCAGCAAGAGGATCAACCCTCGCATCTCTGCCAACAGGAGATCCCTGCGTGGCAGTCCCGGACTTGGGACCGGGCCGGCTCTGCATCGTCCTTGCTAAAGTGGGCTTGGGGGCCTTGTCTAGCGCGGTGCGTGGCAAGCGCATATATGCGTGTGTGAGTGCGCTGTCAACATGTTCGTTCCCTGCTGAGGTGCAAGCAATGGTGCGTACTAGAGAATCAAGAGGGCTAAACAGAACCCCACAGTGGGTATTATGGAATGGTCCGGTCTTAGAGGGGGAATGCTGCGGCAGAACGTCTGGCGCTTGCACTGATGTCAGGCGATAGCTCCAACCGACTAGCAGCTGATTTTCCCTCTCTCTGCCTGCACGGGCGCCAAGCCTGGCGTTCTTGAAGCTTGCTTGCTGGGCCAAAGGCCGACATTTCTGGTTCTCCGTCAGCGCAACGTCAGTAGACCTTAGCTGCGTTTGGTTCGCGTGTTGGGTCTTAGGGCGGGCTTGGGATTTGACGGATCTGAGGGTCCGTGCGTAGGCATTGTCAGGCAAGTCGCTGAGCCTACGCTGACGTATCCTACCGTTAATCTTGCTGCGGGGGCATCTAGGGACTGTTTGCTGAGCACTTATGGCAGCAAGGGACGGCCAGCGCCGCAGTAGCAAGTCAGGCGCTTCACTGCACGTGTCACGCATGTGATGCGCACCAGGCGTCCTGAACAGTGGCTCTATGTGATGGGGCTGCGTGAAGCTGTTCGAAGAGTCCCACGCACAGCCGTATTTTGCAATGGCCCTTGCACTTGACATGAGCGGTCGCCACAAGCAAGGCCGATCATGCGAGGATGTGGGAAAACCAACCCGGTCCGTGGCTGCGCCTTGCGTCCTAGTGAATCTAGGGTGTCTAGGGTGGGGAAGGTGGTAAGGGTCTACCTTAGGTATCAGCGTCCGGCACCAGGGCGCACCGAGGATGCCTCGAGGTGCGACTTGGAAGGATAGTTGATGTCTGTCACGCGACAGCTCGGGAGAAACAACCCAGGCCGTGACTGCTTTGCATGGAGGAGTCTGAAGGTTGACAAGGTATGAGGGATTGTCTGGGTATGGTAGGATGGCGGTTGCACGGCACCGGGGCGCACCGAGGATACCTCGAGGTGCGCCTGGGAGAGAAATGCTCAGCCGACAGTACCTGCCCTGTGGTATGCTGCGTGGATGAACTGTATACAAGGTTGTGATAATGTTGAAGCGGGTCGGGAAGTTATGGGGGGTCGGTGGGGTAGCAACTGTCCGGGCCGGGCGCCTGTGAGCGTGGCTCACTGCGCGCTCTCCACGTCGCGGCAAGTGAACAGGCTTGTCGAGATTTGACCTGAAGCAGGAAGGCGCTACTCGGGTGGGTCGGGTTCGGGCTTTGCGGGACAGGCGATTGCTTACTGGCATGTGAAGGCTTATGAGGTCCCCGCACGGGGCGGCAGGCGCGGCCTCCAGGGCCGGGGTCCCCTCAAGCGAGGCAGCTTGTGATGCAGGCTGCGTGGCGCCGTTGGACGCCTGATCTGCAGAGAACGCACTGCATGGCAAGGCAGCCTCCACGGGGTTCGTCACCTCATCTCTCCATGGAACCATTGTTTCGATTGTGGGACTTGTCAATCTCAGGAAGTCCAGATATTCATTCCAGATCCGAATGAAGTCCATGAGGTTCACCTGTCGTGTTGCAAGTTCTGTTTGCAGGAGATCAAACAGCTCGCTTCGGGTGAACCATATGCCAACCTCTGATCCGAATTCCAGTGTTGTAGTGAGTTGCTCGTATATCCTGCTTGACTGGGCAGGGCTGTAGTAAGCCATTTCAACAAGGCCTGCCGCTGAAAGCATGATGTTCTGTCGTCGACGCGGGTCGATGACAGCTGTGGTCGAGCATGAGGCGGTCCCCAGTTCCTGTGGAGCTTGCTCGTCCAATCGTGCTCGCTTGGGCTCACCTTCTTTCACAGCGTCCTCCGGCATGGCCTTGGTCGGCATCACCTGCAGTGCCAGTAGTCCAACGATGGTCTGGCGTGTCGGCATTCTCCCACCAGGGAAGATGGCAATGGCGGGCAGGAGAACAGTCCCCTTCCAATCACCTGGATTCCAGTCCCGGCTAGGGATTAATGTCGCTTGGCTGCTCGTCCTCCTCTGACCGGTCATCAGGCACTTCGATGCTCTCCAGGAAGTCGCTGAAGGCTTCGGGGTCAAAGAATTGTAGCAGCAAGTGTAGCGAGTTGAAGTCCTCGCCAGGTCTGGCTTCCTGTATGGCCTGTAGGAGCCAGGTCGTGTGCTGTTGCGGCACCCTCCAGTTCCGGATAAGATGCTGGGCCAGAGTGAACTCAGCGCGGCGCATGTAGAAGTTGTACGGGCTGTTTGGTCCCAGGCTGCGCAGGAACTCCAGTCGCTCTGGTTGTTGCGGCTGGCGATACAGCAGCAGCATGAGACGATAGTGTCGTGAGACCGAGCTTCTGGCGCTGGCCGGGATCCTGCCCAGCATGGTCGCAATCCACGTGTCATACTGTCGCTCTCGCAACTGTCTTCGTAGTCGGCGCATGATGGCATCCAGCCGGCTTGTGTGCCCCTCCAATGCAGCCAGGTGATTCCGGACAACATTAAGCAGCAGAGAGCCAGCAAGGGCCTGCCACAGGTCTTTGCTCGGTTGCCCGCCGAACACCAGTGCTTCAGAGTGTGCCTCCTCGTGTTGAAATGCTCGGCAGGCCATGACATCAGCGCAGAAAGCAGAGCGTCTTCCCTGAGCCTGTTGGAAAGAGGGGCCTGTTTGGGACTCGAGGCTGTTCACCACACGCCACACACACGAACGCGCACGCACGCGCACACTCAGTACACGTCAGTTCGAGCCGAGATGCTTGCACTGTGAGTTTAGGGTTTAGGGTTCAGGGTTGTTTCTTAAGGGGAGGCGGTGGCCCTTTGAGGGATTTATGTAAGGCTTTTGAGGGGCTTTATGGCTTGAGAGCTGTCGCACTTACTCTGGTGCACAGCAGGCAAGGCTTCTAGGATTTTGAGGCCTCAGTCGCATTTCAACCAAAAAACGAGTTCGGCATCTTGTCCCTGCGGTTTGCTGTTGCATTTTGCAGGGTTTCGGCTTGGTAGTTTCAGGGTCAATGGCTTCTGGGCATGCTTCTCTGAGGGCTTGGGGGGATAAGGCTTTCAGAGGTTGCATGAGGGAGTTGCCCCTGATGCCCACAGCAAGGGCCTCTTCGAGTGGCGGGGCGTCAGCGACCAGACCGATCCTGGCAAGAAGAGCCAGAGCATGCATACGTAGACAAAGGGACATGCACAAGCGTACGCGAAGAAACCCAAGCAGACGGACACAGGGCTCTTGCACATTAACCGCAGCTCACATTGATGCGTGTGTAAAGGAACACGGCCAGCCACAGAGACAAGCATGATGCAAGTCATATGCGGCATGACTTGAAAATTTGAGCGTGGGTGAAAAAGCAAACCCTACAATGCAACATGGCAGCACATCACGGTCTCCCGAACGCACCTGCCTTACGGTCGCCGTAAAAGCGCTTCAGCCATTTGGGATGTGAGGCTTGCGGGGTCCCCTAAACCCCAAACCCAAAACCCAAAACCCTAAACCCTTTTTGCTAAACCCTGAACCCTAAACCATCCCCCTTTTTGCTACACCCTGAACCCTAAACGAACAAAAGGGGCTTCCTGGAGCCCCGGAACCTCCCTGAGCAGCCCCTCTCCGGAGCCTTGTGCCAATGGCGTTGCCCTCCAGCTCCAGCCTTGACGACTCCGACTCGGGAGGTGGTACAACAATAATTTCTATTTATATATGTGTATATATATATATATATGTATAGAGAGAGAGAGAGAGAGACCATTTAGTAACAAAAACGATAGACAATATAAGTATTCCTTTTCGATAAGAATATTGTATGAATAGATTCATGAACAAACTTGCATGTATACATATATATATATATATATGTGTGTGTATGTATATTTGTATACAACAAGAATACATGAAATAAAATAACATAAAAACACAACAATACAACACTTTTTCAATGCAATAATATATCGCCATACAAAAATGTAATCATCGACTTCACAAGCTATGCACTTTCATCTCGCGGCTTCGCGTGGGAGGATTCTGACCCCGCTGCTTTCCTGGTAAAAAACACACACACAACAAATAAAAGGGGGTTTAGGGTGTAGGGTGTACGGTTTAGGGTTTAGGGTTTAGGGTTTAGGGTTTAGGGTTTAGGGTTTAGGGTTTAGGGTTTCTTACACCAATAGGGGATAGGAATAGGGGATCCCTTGGGGATATGGACCCTCTGAATAAGGTCCCTGTTTAAGAGAGTTAGCAGAGGGTAAAGAAGGGTTCCCTCTTTCTCCTACCTGGGAACCAAAGAGGGCTGCGCAAAGAAAAGGGAGAAAAAGAGAAAACACTGCGTAGTCCGCACACACACACATGGGAGTTGACGAATTAGGGGTACCTTATTGGGGTCCTTGCTCTAAGGGAACCCTGCTATTTAGGGGGTCTATATAAGGGGTCCCTTGTCTTCGTAAACCCCCACATGGAAGAGCAGCCGGCCCTGTGAATCAACCCTAAACCCTAAACCCTAAACCCTAAACCCCAAAAACCGCCGAGCGGCTCCACCATCATCACCAAGGAGTTTAAAACCACCAGCGTGGCGGCAAGGATGTTGATCCAGCCTCGGAGAGCTCCAAAGGCTCAAAGCCTGAAAGCCCTGAAAGCCCCAAAAGCCCCAGAAGCCCCAAAAGCCCCAAAAGCCCCAAAAGCCCTTAAAGCCCTAGAAGCCCCAAAAGCCCTCAAAGCCCTTAAAGCCCTAGAAGCCCTCGAAGCCCCAAGATCCCTAAACTCTAAAGCCCGACCCCTTTTTCCGATCTGGGCCGGGTGGGGAGTCCCAGAACCCTAAACTCCTAACCCTAAACCCTAAACCCTAGGCCCTAGACCCTAGACCCTAAACCCTAAACCCTAGGGCTTCCCGAACCCATTTTGCTTTCTGGGGCTGGACTGAGCCCTGGCACGCTTCAGCTTGTCTATGAGCTTCTCCTTCTGCTCCTCCTTCCCTGCAAGTCGAAAACGATGTTTTTATGCCCATATTGTTATATTTGGTTATAGTATTGTATATTATTGTTTTTTATAGTACTTTTTAGTTGAACATATTATTATTTTAAATTGTTATGTTCTTATATCATGATATTCTCATAGTACTATGCCATCACATTTTTATACTATTCTACGATTAGATGACTATATTAGTATGCTCTTCTATTATTATATAAATCATATAAGTAGAAATAAACCAACATATATATATATATATATGTATATATAGATGTATATACCTCATCCCGAAGCCGGCTAGTGTTTAGGGCTTAAGGTTGTAAGGCTTAGGGATTGGGATTGTGGCCGAAGACTTGAGGCAGCAGAGCATACACGCGATGAAAGATTCATGAACCCTTTTGCAAAGGGCTTCTCGCATTGCCCCATTAACACTCTCTGTCTCGCTCGCTCTCTCTCTCTCTCTCGATCTATCTCTCTCTCTCTCTCTCTTTCTTTCTTTCTTGGGGGCATGGGGGCAAGCCCCCGGGCGTTCTCGCCCCGGTATTCGGGGGGCCTCTGGTCTGGGTGGTCGGAGGAGAATGAGCACAGGACTTGCGACCCCCACCCCACCCCCACTCTGCCCCCTATTTGTAGCTGTAGTTGTAGTTGTAGTTGTAGTCCAGCATGTGCTCCTTCTCCCCTTTCCACACTCGCATCCGCGTCTGTACCTATGTCTCTGCCAGCCCCGGGTCGTGGTCTCGTCCCTACTCTCTCTCTCTCTCTCTCTCTCTCTCTCTCTCTCTCTCTCTCTCTCTCTCTCTTAAAAACGTCTCAACCCTTCAACCCTTTTCTTGCATCCAGACCCATTGCTGTCGGGATCTCGCTAAACCCCTAAGCCCTTAAACCCTAAACGCCCAACCTAAAAACCCGAAGTCCTCAAACACCCAAACCCTAGACAACAAAACCCTAAAGCCCAAACCCTTAAAACCCTCAACCCTAAACCTCCCCAAACCCCAAACCCTAAAGCTCCTCTCTCCCTTCAACCCACCCTTCAACCACGGCCGGTCCTGAAGAGAAGCCCAATGGCCTGGCCTCGGTTTCACCGACTTCTCAAGCCCTGGCTCACACACGATACCACCTTGTACGTGGGTTTAGGGTTTTAGGGTTTAGGGTTTTAGGGTTTAGGGTTTTAGGGTTAGGGTTTTGGTTTAGGGTTTAAGGGTTTAGGGTGTCTTTGGGAGTTTTAGGATTCTCTTTTTAGGTTTTGGGCTTGTCAGGGTTTTAGGATGTTTGGGCTTCAGGCTTTGAGGGTTTAGGGAAACTACTGTGGGCTTGTGGATTTGGGGTTCAGGGGGTGAAGTTCGTGTGAATTCTTTGCAACCTGCAACCCCGCGCTCTCGGCCACGTGCCGCTGGAGCTAAGGCTGAGGCCGAAGTTGGTTTCATCGATGGTGACTGCAGCAATCGCCTGCCACAGGATTCGAGGCTTTGGGCTCATGGATTGATAAGCTGGGCCGCTTCAGCCAAGGCTGCTCCTACCAAATTTGCACTATGTGGCCCAGCAAGCTTGCGGGTCCTTGTTCTCATGTGGGGGTTTAAAAGTGGGGTGCCTTCCTAGAGGTCCTTTTTCGAGAGAGGGATTCCGCTATTTTGGGGGTAAAAGGGGTACCCCAATTTTTGGAAAGCCCCATTGCCCTCGAGCATTGGCGCACCCCGCCTACTGACATGCTGTCAACCCCAGCTCAGCCTCCATCCTGAAATCCTCAAAGTTTAGGGCTTAGGGTTTTAGGGCTTTAGGGTTCGGGTTTTAGGGTTTACGGTTTGGGTTTAGGGTTTAAGGTTTAGGGCTTAGGTTTAGGGTTTTAGGGAAACCCCCCCGCAGCCTCGGAACGTTGGGCTCGGCAGCGTCGGGCTGGGACAGACATCTGATGGACATCCACGACTGGCGCAGAACTGACCTAGGGCCGGATGAAGCTTCTGGAATCAAAAAACGCCCGCAGACACTCGCACTGCGCCATGTGGGCCAGTCCAACATCTCTCGTAATTAGTTGGTTTGTCAGGTCACGCATGGAATCCTGGGGGCATCGAGTTCTTGTGGGTACAACTTCATGCCAGTTCACAGTGCTGAATACTTCTGTACAAGGCTGTATGACGTCGGCTTCTCGAATCGTGTGCACACCAGAGTTTCGTCACACATGACAACTACGCTGCCTTGGACACCTGCGCGAACTAAGGGTCGAGGGGGTCTAGGGACAAGGTCCAGGAACCCTCTCCCCCAATATGGCCAGGAACTTGGTCGAACGCCATTGATGGCGGCTGCCCTAAACCCTAAACCCTAAACCAGCTCCCAAAAGACCCTGGCCACTGAACTCTTAACTTGTGAAAGTCTGGCGCTGGCCGTCGGTCGCACACCACCAGGCAGTGGTCATGACAACAGTGGGCAATGTGGCACTGATATCTATCTACAAAGACCACGACCCCTAGTTCATGACAAGATTCCAGAACCATCAAGAAAATGTAAGCCCAAAACCCTAAGCCCTAAACACTGAAGCCTAAACCTGCACTGCCCTGAACTGCCCTGAACCTCAACTTCGACAAGGCCCTGCCGGGGCCTACCACCCTGAGCCCCAAGACACCCCTTGGACCTCCAAGCCGAAGCTCCAAAAGGAGAACAAGATGATGAGGGTTTAGGGTTTAGGGTTTTAGGGTTTGGGGTTGAGGGTTTGGGGTTTGGGGTTTAGGGTAGGTTCGCAAGACCCCCCAAGCCCGGCCCCAAGCCCTGTTCCGTCAGAGCCCCTCGCTGATTCCATAGACATGTCGTGGTAGTGCAGGCTTGACCCCGCGGAGGGCAACTGGGCAGACGGGGCTTAGAGCATCCGGGAGTTCAGGGTTCATGGCTTGGGGTTCAAGTGAAGGCCTGAGTGGGTTTAGGGTTTAGGGTTTAGGGTTTAGGGTTTAGGGTTTAGGTTCGGGTTTCGGGTTTCGGTTTCGCGTTTAGGGCTTAGGGTTTAGGGTTTAGGATTTAAGGGTTTCGGGGTTAGGGTTCAGGGGCGTTTCCGGGTCCGCGGCTCTGGGTGCACCCTTGTCTCCACAGGTCCACCCCCAGCCCCTGGTCTGAGAAGCTCGCAAACAACTTCGGAGGCATCTTGACCGGCACAAGCTTCTCGTGCTGCCTGCATCCTACATTACCCGAAGCTGAGGCGGCTTCGGTCTGGGTTCTTAAACCCGTTTGAGAACCCTATACCCTAAGCCCTGATCCCTTTTTCCAAGAGACTTCGCCCGCCTCGATAACATCCCCTGTGAGCCCTAATCCCTAAACCCTGAACCCTTGTGTTGCAACGAGCTTGGTTGTGCTCCCGCCCGGTTGTGGCTGCCCCAAACCCTGTACGCAGACGGGGCCTCGGCGACGACTCAGACACTTAGAGAGTCGAGTCTCTCAGAAACTTGTCTCGAGACCTGATTGAATGAGCATACTAATCTGGAACTTATCGAAGCTATGTCGTGAACTTCAAAGATGTGGCTTCCAACTCCTCCCAGCCCACATCCTGAACCCTAAAACCCTAAACCCCAAACCCCAAACCTAAGCCCTAACCCCAAACCTAAAACCTAAACCCCAAACCCTTACCCTAAAGCCTAAAACCCCTCGAAAGGGGGGCAGTGCAGCAGCCAAGGACAGACCGGATCGGGCACGGTGGATGCAGGACTGGAATTGTTCAGGGGTCCCTGGCCTCAAAGGTACGGTGTAGGGTTTAGGGTTTAGGGTTTATATAAGTTTTTGGGTTATTAGGGTTTAGGGTTCAGGGTTGAGGGTTTAGGGTTTAGAAGTTTTTTGGAACATGGGGTTTGCAAAATAAAGGCCTTCAATGGTGTCCCCCAAATAGCCAGGGTTCCCCAAAATAAGGACCCCAATAAGGTGCCCCCTAATTATGGACACCCCCATATGTGCACCCTCTGCAGTCTGCTCTCTCTCTCAGTCAGCTCTCACACCAGGACCTCCTGCAGCTTTTGGAGTTTAGGGTTCAGGCTTTCGGGCGTGCTGCTTAGGGTCGTGGGTTAAGCACATCCGAACCCTCTTAGGAATTCTGCGGGTTCTCCCCGCCCCAATTATGAGTCTGCTTACAACCTACTTGAGGGACTTGGGGGGCTCTTGCGTGCAGTGACAATTGGAGTAAAAACGTGCCCTGTACCTCCAAGTACCTATCAGAGTTTAGGGTCTCGACGCTGAGTCATTAAAACCGATACAGTCAATCTTGCGGGGAGTTGCTTCGATCAGAGTTTAGGGTTTAGGGTTTAGGGTTTAGGGTTTCGGTTCAGGGTGTAGGGTTAGGGTAGGGTTCAGGGTTCAGGGTTTAGGGATGTTCGCCCTTATATTCGCCTCGGCTTTCCTGCCGAGAAGCGTCTGGAACAAGCAGACCCGGATCGGGCCTCCTTCGCCCTAACCCAACCCTTGCCCCTATGCCGAATTTTCTGACGCCACCCCCCCCCCCCCCCCGCCCTGTGGGACCCCCCCCAATCCCTTGGAGGAGCTGCAAAACCGATGCCGTGGAGGATCCCGCTTGTCGGTGGCTCCTACACAGGAGTGCCTCAAAAACCCCCGCACCCCCCCCCCCCCCCCCCCCCTCACCCCCCTCCCGACCCCCCCCCCCCTCCCACCCGCTCTGCCCTCCTCCCTTTTTAACCCTCTTTCCTCCTTTCCTGTCCTGGGGCCGGCCCGGCTGCCGAGGCGGCGCGCGCAAGCGTTTACAATTAACAGTCCTTAAGTCCCCCTTATTCATAATCCCTAATTATTAAGGACTGTTACAACAAGGGAACATCCCAAGTTTAGGTTTTCGCGCGCAGGCCCCGTCCTTGCCTCGAGATTCGGCATCGGGTCGACATACCTGCATCCGATGATCTTTGGGAGAGCTTGCACTTGAGGGTTTAGGGTGTAGGGTTTAAGGCCTGTGGTGTCGGGTTTGGAGGTTAAACTCAACAAACCCAATGAAACTTCCAGCAGGGGTGCAACTGAGGCCTTAGGCAAACCCACCCTGAACCTGAACCAGGAAGTCTAGTGGAAGAGCTTACAGTCGAGTGACTCCGGCAGCGTCGATACCACCTTCTGCCCCTTGGCTTCAAGCCTCAGCAGCAAGGGGTCGAGGTGGGCCAAACAAACATCAAAAGAATCTCTTAAGTCGCTCAGGGTGTTGTGCGTGCGTGCGTCCGTGCGTGCGTCCGTGCGAGCGTGTGCGTCCGTGCGCGGGTGCGTGTGGGTGCGGGTGTGGCTGTGGCTGTGGCTTTGGGTGTGGTCGTGGGCGTTGGCGTGGGCGCAGGTCTGCATGGGCGTGGGCGTTCGCGTGCGCGCTCGCGTAGGCGAGGGTGTGGGTGTGGGCGTGGGCTGTGGCTGTGGGTGGGGCGGCAGTGGCAGTGGCAGTGGCAGTGGCAGTGGCAGTGGCTGTGGCTGTGGCTGTGGCTGTGGCTGTGGCTGTGGCTGTGGCTGTGGCTGTGGCTGTGGCTGTGGCTGTGGCTGTGGGCGTGGGCGTGGGCGTGGGCGTGGGTGTGGGTACCTGCGCCTGTGGCTGTGTGCGTGCGTGTGCGCGTCGTGCGCGCGTCGTGTGCTCGTCCTGTGCGCGTCGTGTTCGGTCGTGCGCCGTCATGTGCACCTCGTGCGCGGGTCGTGTGCGCGTGTTGTGCGCGTGTGCGCATCGTGCGCGCGTCCACATTGCAGGGAAACAGAAGGAAACATTCACAGACGTTCAGGGTATAGGGTGGAGGGTTGAGGGCCTTAGGCTTGTAGGGTCTTCAGGCTCAGGGCTTGGGTCTTAATGGGGCCAACAGCATGGTCTCTTCAGCCCAACCCTATCTAGCCGCTACTGGGAACCATCCCCAAAAATAACAAAAACAAGTCCAGGCCTGAACCCTATACCCACCAAGCTGAGTTTAGGGTGCTTGGTTTAGAGACTGTTTAGAGCCAGGCCCTGAACCCAAAACCCTAAACCCTAAACCCTAAAGCCTTTTGAACGAGGTCTCATGTCGAGATCAGAGGCTCGGACGTGGGTCGGTGGCCGACTTGACCCAGCTTTCCCATTTCCTCTATCCTTCAAAGGGGCTTAGGGTTTAGGGTTTAGGGTTTAGGGTTTAGGGTTTAGGGTTTAGGGTTTAGGGTTTAGGGTTTAGGGTTTAGGGTTTAGGGTTTAGGGTTTAAAGGGTTTAGGGTTTAGGGTTTAGGGTTTAGGGTTTAGGGTTTAGGGTTTAGGGTTTAGGGTTTAGGGTTTAGGGTTTAGGGTTTAGGGTTTAGGGTTTAGGGTTTAGGGTTTAGGGTTTAGGGAGGGCTTGGGGGTTTGCCAGCAGCAAGGGTCATTAGAGTTGCTAGGGTTGTCAGGGTTGTTCTGGTTACTTCACCTGCATTGGGGCATTCTTCTCCAAGGCTGTGCGGTAACTAATGCGACAACTCCCCTCTCTAATTCTTGCACACTGCCCTGTGTGCAGTTCTGCATTCAGCCGGTATGCATGCATACCGGCCTGGTTCAGCAGATTCACAGGTCTGCTTGGTTTTCACCGCCCACCCGCCCTGAAAATGTGTTTTTCTGTGGGCCTGAAAGGCCATGTCCAAGGCCCTATAAAGTCGTGTGTGTAAAGGGATTGGCATTGAAGAATTGCGATGCATGCAAGCCTGCTTGCACTCTTCGGGGGTGCTTTACGAACGTAAACTAATAGGGAATAAGGGTGCACTCTAAGAGATGCGGTCTCTTGACTGGCAGTCGATGCAGCATCCATGCTGGCTTCCAGCGGGCGGCGCCTCGTGAATGCATCCTGCATCGAGCTCATCCAGGAGGCATGCTGCGCCTCTCAACCCGAAACCCTAAACCCTAAACCCAGGGAACCCCGGGAGTACACGGGGAAATCGCAGAGACACGCTGCTACAAAATCATGCCTGGGCATCTTTTTGCGGTTCCCACG